AATGCGGCGATTTGCCCAAACGCCTTCTTGTCCTCAAAGATGTTCGACGTTCCTTCCACCTAAGCATAACAGTTGCAGCCAAATTTTGCCATCACTAGCTAAAACCTACTTCAACCATTCCAAACACCCCTCCCGGTTTGAGCACGCGATGTACTTCCTTGAGGCACTAAAATATAAAATTAACGTCATCTTTCAAGATTGATAGTCTTGATGTACCAGCTGTACTGAGCATAAAATGGCTTGCTATAGATGTTTTTATTGTTATGAGTAGTGGATGCAAACTTTTTCACGACACCTACGAATGAATATGGGAGAGCTCAGCTTTAAAAGTTGCTTGTCTATATCACCTTTTTATTAGATACTCTATATACACAAGAAAATCCACAATTTAGAGGTTTGTGTGTAAATATTTTTTGCCACTCAATTTCTATGCTTCACCTTTGTCAAATTTTATAACGCAATGAGTATTCAGTCAATTGCTAGCCCTGGTGACAAAGCTTATAAAAAGAGAGTATAGAAAAATTATAATTTTAGCAGTCCCATCGTATCACTTCAAGGGTATTCGCAACTTAGGTACACCAGTCTTTCCACTATTCAGATTATTCGTGAGTTTCCAAAGGCTTGATACTTGTTGCGATATCCGCAAGAATGCTATAGGAACCGATTGTTTTGTACTCGGAAAAAATGAAGGGATGTCTCATTATCGACGAATTTTCTCAAAGAATAGTGCTATGGGAATATTGCAAAATCTTAATTTCTGCGATTGCTATAATATAAATGTAGACGACCTTCTACAAGCAGCCACAAGTGTGGCTGAAAAATAACCAGAAAGGAACGCAAAAAAATCCATTCTCTCCTTTTAGTGTCATCCAGCAGGCGATTTCTCAGTAGAGGTAGCTATGCCCAACTTCTCACCATAGCTGTTATAGATAGCGACCATTGAAAAAACAACGATGCTCTCAATACGCGCTGAAATCGCGCCACTGCAGCTCATCGCCGTTAGTCAAGGGCCAAATAACTCTGTTTT